TCTTACTTGTGCAGCTTACAAATTGGCAATGCTAGCTGCATTATTTTAAAATGTAAGTATTTTATGGGAGCACGGAAGACTTAAATATTGATCAACAAATTTGTAATAAATGAAAAAAACCCAAAACCACAGTGAAGGAAGAACTAGAAGCTAATGATTCATTCACACATCTCTTCCTCTCTTTTTCTGTACATGACCCTTCAGAACCGCCATCACCGGGGCTCTGAGCATTACTGCGCCGCTGACTAGAATGCAGGTACTGCAGCTCGGGGCAGAGCAGTGAGAAAGGCAGGTGTCCACACAACTGGAGTACAACTACAGGATTAGGTGGCCTCAAGCCAAAAAGCCACTAATGGAGGAGAGCAGTTCGGAGGACGGATACCGAAGCATTCCAACTGCACCAGGCAAACTGGCCTGCTTAGCCTACACTAGCGATATGGCAGGGTATTAATTTTAAGTAAGAAACATTCCAGGGGAGGTTGTCAGAGGAGTGTTAGAGGGCAGACAAGGACAAGGGCACAGGGGCCACAGATGAAGAACAACTAAAGAAGGTGGTAAGATGTGATACAGAGAATGACTGACTGTGAGCTGTGTTTGTGGGTTACAACATACTTTTTCATATGTATAATGCTCTCTGTTGTCATGGGCGTAATTCCCAAACTGAACTATGCTGGCAGTCACCCGTACCTCCTTAGGCGCAGTGCTTCTATAGATGAGAATCCGTTTTCCTCTTGACAGAGGTGCCCTTACACCGTGGCACTGCTGACCACTGTTACGTAGTAGTATATAAGGTTAACCTGTAATGCCATTTTGTGTCTACTTTACTTTCTCCTCCATAGCTTCATCCAGAAACAGATACTGGTAAGGCAGATGTTGTGACTTAGCTCTATTTCAAGAAGATCGTTCTTTTACAGTTCTACAAATATGTAACAGAATAACGCTACATCCTCTGCTCTTCATCCCTCTATGCCTTCCTCTGACTTGGTCTTTAGGCTTCAACAGAGGATTTTTTTTTTTTTTCCATGAACCACTACTCTTGAGAGGAAAAAACTTCTTTAAAATTCCTTGAGGCTGATTTAAATCCGAGATCCTTGTGCACAGGTCTTATTGTCGGAATAAGGGAACCATGGGGTGGATGTAAGTGCCATTTTACATCCATACAACAGTGCTTTGATGTGTGGATTTGTGGTCTGTCACCAGCTTTTGCTCGGTCACACTTACTTTGTACAGCAAAGTTGACACTAACCATCTGAACATGGAAATGTGTCATTTCTGACAGGAGAGGTTCCTCCTCAGCTCTTCTGTTTGCATACACCTATCGTGGCTCGTGAGGGAAACAGGGCATAACAGAAGGGAACTGCGAGGAGCCAACAACAGACAGCTGAGGGACGACCAAGAAGTCCAATCTTGCGTATACATGTACATGGGTACAGAAGAATCGCAGGGAAATGGTGAAAACAAAAAATGGAGCAACCTGTAAGTATGTTCCTAATGCCCTTTCTAATACATTTTTTTCCTGTAGGAGATCTTCACTATCCAGAGGAAGGATACAGTTGCAGGTATTTTGAGACTCATGATTTTTTTTTACTTAATACGTAATAAAAAATTTGCTGTCTGCAAGTGTGTGCCCTCTTTCTTTTTTTTTAATCATGCCTGATGTCTCTTCTGATTCTCATTCTTTATTAGCATAAACAGATAAATGAGAGAAGGTCAGGACTGGGGAGAATATAATCCTATTCCAGCTACAGTTCTGACTGCTTGAAAAAAGACCTTTGCTATTGATTTTATGTGAGCCAAATCTGAAGATTTTGTAGTGTTGCATAAGCCATAAAAAAAAAAAAACAAAACCAACCCAAACCACCAAACCCTTTTGGCCAGAAGAGTGAAATTCAGCTGCCTGAGCAGATACCTGATGGATAATCAGGGCACAGATGCTCTGTCTGCTCAGAGTTTTTTCCTTACTATACTCCCAGATCTTCTGTGTGTGACAGAGGGAGGGAGAGAGAGAACCTGTGTGCATTCTTACACGGAACTTTCTTTTGTCACTTTTTTCCAAGGCCAGCCAAGCTACACGATCAAATTCTAAAGCCCCTACATGGACTTTCAAAGCCAGAATTTTCTCCACCTTTTAAAGAAAGCATCATTTTATCAAATTGTAAGATTTTAAAGAAAGCATCATCAAAGATCATTTTCAATGATCAGCCACTTTGTATCAGTAGTGAATTTCTCTCCCTCTCTGCTTATCACCTTATCCATACAACATATTTTTAATTCCCATATTCTCCTAAAATTGAAGCAAGTCAAACACAAATAAGTCCATTTACCTATAGATTAAAACAAGCCTTACAGGAAAGCCATCATGGTTTGGTTTGGTTGCATTTTCACATAACCACAATTTTAACTGAAAAGGGACAGTTGAGATCAATCATGAATGCCCTCCCTTCCCAATTACAGACATTTAAACCAGTGAGACTTTTTTTTTTTTTTTTAGATTTTATAAAATTTTCCTCTCTTTTATAAGCATAATCATATCACTTGTATTAAAAAAAGAAAATACAATCACTGTTGGAGCATTTTCCAAGATTGCTTCAACAGAGTAACAACCGGAATTTACAGCATCTCACCTTGACTCCACAAAACACTTCCAAAACTGTCCAGGACTCCAAGCATGTTCTTAATTTCTACTGACTCCAAGCTAAGCACCTCTTTAAGTGTGTTTATTGAACTGGGACTGAGTTAAGCATTTAATTGGACAAGTACTTGCCTTCTTGAACTGGAACTCCTGGATGCACACAATATATGTCCTCATCCTCCTTCCTTGAAACAGGATTAAGATTTATAGTCATCCCTCTGGGATTATGAATTAAGTTTGGCTTTTTGTTTTTAGAATTAAGATTTTTGCACCAGTATTACGTACTTCCCACTGTTGACATATGAGTGACACAGTAAAAAGGTAAAGAAAACAATGTATCATTACAGCAGGGAAAAAAAAAAAAAGCAAGAACCAAACTAGGCTTCTAAAATTTCTTGCAGTGAGTTGACCAATCATCAGTTGCATTCAGTAATGAAACAGGACCAGGAAAATTACAGGTCGTATCTATCAGGTGGTATGCAGATTTTTGTAGGTGAAGGCCCTATGTGAATCCAAATTTGCCAAAGTAGTGGACAATTCAAATCTGATAAACACTGTGATGTGCAAGAAGCTGTATCTTTTAACTACTTTTGTAAGCAAATAAGGTTTATCCATCTATCTATCTGGTTTGTGCATTTGTTCATTTGTCCACCCTCCAGTAACTTTGTGCAAGAAGCTGTATCTTTTAACTACTTTTGTAAGCAAATGAGGTTTATCCATCTGGTTTGTGCATTTGTTCATTTGTCCATCCTCCAGTAACTTTTTAACTTACTAGTTAGCTGAACCCAGAGTTCCAAATTTCACAAGAATAACAAAAAGACAAATAATAAATCTCTACCAGATTACAACATCAGTGACTGTGTAGAGGAAAAAAAAAAAAGGAGTCCCAAATAAGAGGTCCCAGAGAAGAAAAGAGAGAGACAGCCCAGTTCTTGTTGGCTCCAAAGTGGGTGGCCGGCAGCCTGTCAGCGCCGCCTGTGCAGTCAGTATCTGCACCGCTGTAGTGGACTCTGGGGGAGGTTTATGGCAGACGCAAGGCTCGCTCTGTCCATCTATCTATCATGATATCACTCATGAATGGGGGAGCATGTTAGAAGCACAGAAGTTGGGGTGAAGAGCACTAGCACTCAAAGTAGAGGTGAATAGTTTATGTGCAGGTGAGTGGGAGAATGAAGCACTGGAACAAGGCCTCTAAGCACAGAGGGATACGGGGATTTCTGGTGTGTGGGACCATTGGAAGTAGGCTACAGACAGCATGGGGAAGTTGAGCAGCGGTAGCAGAGGACACGTGCACAAAGGGCATGAAACAATGAAATCTGGCTTTATTAACCAATGCTGCTCATGGAACTGCTTGTTAAAAGAAAGAAGAAACAGATAATGAAGATAAACCTGTTTAATTTAGAACCCAAGTGAAAACAAGTATTTTCTTCAGAAAGTATATATTCTATTCAAAATTACTCATCTGTAGGTTCCAGAGGTTTAAATATGGTCTCCGAATTATCATTTGAATAGCCAATAAAAAATATCATACAAAAAATCAATTTCACAGATCAGCAATAGAGGGTTCATTTCTGATTAGTTTATAAACAATATAAAAACAGTTTTACTGATATATATATTCCAGACTATGTGAATGTGAAGTTATCGGAAAGTATTTAAATGGTGAGAATGTGGGAAGCTTTTGTCAACTGGTTTTTGTACCATTTAGCAGATTTTTATGTCTTGAAATCATAATCCCATATGCTACTAACAGTAATAAGCAAAGACTACGTGAAGGTGCTACATGAACGCCCATGAGCAGATTTGTGCTGAGGACACGTGCACAGAAGTTCCACAAAATCACAAAGAGCATCTTTCCATGGCTAATGATACTTAGCTGTGACGGAGCTAATGACTCCTTAGTCAACAGAAGCAAGAACTCTACTCAAGAATCAAGTCACCTTGCTCTTAATTTTCTTTATTTCTGGAGGGATGTGGAACATCCTTCATCTTTTCCTTCTGAACTGGAAGTACATCTTTGGGGATTTCTTTTTGACTATAGACACACATACATACGCCATATATGTAAGTAAATGAACCGCTACCTTAAAATGGGTCACAGTTCTTAAAACCAAATTACTCCAGAATAACAGTGAAGAATATTATGTTTTGAGAATTTAAAAGAAAAAAAAAAAAAAACCTGCAAGTGATTGCTGTTCCTTTTAAGCCACAAGTCTTCGATTCTCTGTGTTAAGTGAGTGTAAAAAAAAGTGGGGAATGAAACAACATTCAGGACTACACTGGAACATCTCACAAGCACAGGAAAGCACAACTCAAATTTAAGATTTATTTTGATTAACAGAGTAATTTATACCATTCTTCTACTTACAGCAGACATGATGAGCTCTCCACCTAGGTTCTGGATTTCTGCTTTAACTTGACTGCAGATTTTGAGCTGATGGGAGTACAGCTTGATCTGTTCCAGGTAAGCCAACAAATCCTGTTTGCACGATTGGTCTGGACACTGAAGATTAAGAAACACATTCAGTACACATTTCAGTAACTCGTCTCAGACATCAGGTTAATACTTCACTGAGGGGTATTGAAATTGCACGCGAGTGGTAGCCTTGCTTTTCACTGCAGCTGTATCAGGTTGTGTAGTTCAGTCCTCTTGTGAAGCTTTTTAACAAAATAATTCGATAAGCTCAGAATAATCCTAAACTTCCTCATATTCGCTTTTATTTAACACTGTTGGGCTTGCCTTAGCAGTATTTCTAAACACAATTTCTAAACACATTCTTTAATGTATAGAATAATTACTTTCCCTTCAATTCCTAAGATGTTATGATTTCTTTTCAAGAAGATACCGACATTAACAGTAATACTTATGTGGCAAATGTAAACATAAATGAAGAGTAATGTTAACATTTATATGAAAATATGCTTTATCTTCTAATACAATCTATGGCTTTTTGTGTTCCATCCAGAGTTCATTCAACTTGATCCGCAGATCTTCTTTATCAGTGGGAACAGGAAAATAAGAATGTCCTACGGAAAACTCGACGATTTCAATAATTTCAACACCATAGTATTTCTTTATAAAAATAGCATCTTTCTACCCTCATGTCTGTGAACTCTCAAAAAACTTGGAGTACTTGGCAGGGGGCGGATATTGCTCTGTGAGTACCAGGCTAGACACCTAAGGCCTGTGTGCATTTATTCTAAAGCTGCTTTTCATTGCTATGGCAGATAAAGGGATCTTAAAGTGAATGGAGAGTCCCTACCGTGCTACCACAGCTCTAAAATGTGAGCATGATAAATAAGAAATAGATCCTTACCGTTTTTGAGACATGCTTTTAGCCTGTGTGCTATAAATGTGGTCACTTTGCTTTGATAGGAAATTGTGTTCAGCTTTGTATATTAAAAAAGAAAAGATAACGTTCCCACCAACTGCACCGGCAACGACCATCTATGGTTTTGTACAGTTACTAAACCTTTGGTCTGATGGAGTTGTGGTCAATGCAGTAGTGATTTAAATCCAAAACCTGCTAGAAGTCAGAAAAAGCACCAGGTCTACTTAATTCATGAAATACTTTACCTAAACTACTGGCTTTGCTGAAGAAACTTGCTACTTGTTTAAAATGGGGAGGGGGTGGGGGGTGTGATCATTCTACTTTTCATGACTATGCAATAGAACAGAAATGTTTGGTTAAGCAAACAAGTTCCTGTTTTAGATTTAGGAAAAAATTACAAGGAATAATGAAAAAATTGAAGTGAACAATTTTAAATTAATTAAGATGAATTAAATGTCAGTCCTTACCTCGTGCTCTGCTAGATCCACTACTAGAATGTCTTCTGTACTTTGGCATAGTTTAGAAGAAAAATAGGTGAGTTTTTTTGACATCCTCTCTTTCTTATGTGTCACGTTTTCATAGTCTTAGCATATTACAGAAAACTATACTAAAATACATCTTTGTTTCCTTCTTACTCAACAATGCTTTAAGAATGGCACAAATCAGTATTTAAATACTGGTACCTCAGTGACTGTTTAGAAAACTGGAATACTTGGTTGTTTATTTAATTTTAATTAATAAAAATCTGTCCTTCCAGTCAAATGCAACTGTAATCCCTTTAAACATCAGAACTAATTATATCAAGACAGGGTATATTTCCTGGAACGAGGTGCTTGCTCAATTTTTGCTTTTCCTCTTCTTAAATACACTGTGATTTATTTTCTTTCCCACTGGAAAAACTCAAGAGTTGGGCAGATAAGGTGCCAATATAGTGTCTCATCCACTTCAGAGAGTGACAATGTCAATTACAGAAGTTCAGAGCCAAGAATATTTTAACCTTATTATATAGTACTCTTTTATATAATAATATTGTCAGGCCAGTCACATTTACTATCTTCTTTATACACCATTAGAGAAGAAATGTGTAACATTTTAGGAATGCTAAAGATGATATGCATCAAAGATCAGGAAATTGCCACTCAAGAACAAGACCTTGAGGTTAAAATACGAAAACACTGGTTCAGTGCTCAGAAGCATTCAAAAAAAGCAAATGCTAGGCATTATTAGGAAAAGACTTCTGCAATGTAATTACACAACTGTACAATACTGTGGTAAACCCACAGCTTTACTACCCCGTGTAGGTATGGTGCGTCTTTCCCCTGTCTTGCCCTTTACAAGGCACGTAAGAGAACAGAAGGACAACAAAGATTTTCATGAAGACAGGTACTCTTTCCTCCAATACAGAACCAAGAGGTCACTGAAGTAGCTAGCGTGAGTTCAAAACAAAAGGAGATGGTTCTTAACACTGTGGTGTTAAGTTGCAGAAATCTTTGTTGCACAATGGTTACACTAAAAGCTTACGTGGGTTAAAAAAAATTACTGGACTAACTAATGAAAAAAGTATCAAGGACTATTTAATGTATGAAGTGTATCAAAAATATGTACAGTTAAGAAATTTCCTGAATGGCTGCTGGAGGTAGGGAGATCATATTGTGGAAGTATCATGAAACACACGCCATTATCTCACCGAGTTGTGTGTATATTCACTATTAACGATTGTCAGCAACAGGATATTGGCCTAATGAACCTATGGTCTGACCAAGTGTGCTCATTTTTATCGACTTTACCCATAAAACTTTGCAAGATGATATGATCGAGGCAGGGACCAACACAATACAAAGAAGAGGGATTTACAGGGCTATAGATAACATTCTACACTACTTTAAGTAGGATATAAAGTACTACAAAAAAAATTTGAAGTGCCATGTCTTATAGCATATCCAAATCAACTATAAACAGATGTTAGGAAGAAATGTACTCTCTGGAGAGGATATTCCATAAGGAATCCTCTACATATTGCTCAGAAGCATCTGGTACAAGCAACACTTGCTTACTAGTGAAACCAAACGCTAGGCTGCAACAGAAGGACAATTAATAAATTCCAATTTTAATCATCCTACAGGCAACTGATGGTTACCTGTTTAACGCCTCACATTCTTAGCTAGAGAGCCTGGCAAATTATGCGCAGTTCCTTCCCATACATATTGAAAGTAGTGGGGTGTTAACAAGAGCCTTCCATAAGAACAGGATCAGAACTGACTTGCATCCGAAAGATGAGGTGGTGTTTTACCTAACAGAAGTAATAGCCACAGAAACCTCAAAGTGATTTGATAAATTATGCAGTGATAAAAAACACAATGAAGCCAACATTCACAATCCAAGTGGGAAAAAAAGCCACTGACACAGCAGCGGCCCAAAAGGCCAAGACAAACAATTCTGCAGGGAATTCTGACTGTAAGCAATATTGTTCTTGCTTTGCTTTGCTTTAATTCCTTTGTTAACAGTCAGTAGCATTTCTCTAGACTCTGAAGCTGTCTTCATGGTGATTACTACTGATATATTCACACAGACCCATTAGTATAAATACAGAAATTACTGCAACTATTTGTTAATTGTAAGCTTTTAGGTAAGATGATCTAGTAATCAGATCATCTTTCTAGCACATCTGCTTGGATCGTATTTATCAGCTAATCATTTTAAAGGATGCATTTTTAATTTCACTTTCAGGAAAACTTTTTTCAAGTACATGAAATCAGCTTCTAAGTCAGGAGACCAGCTGGTTCTACAGAAGGAGAGGTTTCATATTGAGCCCTATGCTTCCAGAATTGAAAAGCAGTTAACATTTTATTGCGTTGCTGTATTGATCCTGACCAAGAGCCCACTGTACACCGAGGAGTTACTGACCCACGCAGCGGTTAACCTGAGCAGGGCCAGGCCCGCGCTGCGCGTACCGCTCGGCCTTCAGGCCGTGCCACGGTGCACAAACCCCTGGGCCGCAGCATACGGCTAACTAGCCCACGGCTGCAGAGGCGCCTGCGGGCAGCGTCCACTTGGTGCTGGTGATTCGGCCACCTGCGTACCCTTGCCTTTATCTAGGGCTGCAGAAAGTTCTCATGTGACCAGCGTGTTGGACGGTGGAAATGAGAGAGTTGTTGCCTTGTAAGAAAGAAGAAAAGGAAAAAAAAAAAGAAAAAAAAATCCCGTAATAGCACCAATGAGCAAAATGGGGGAGTCTCTTCTATGGACAGGGTCTGCCCAGCATGCTGTGCGCAGCGTGGAGGCCCGGTTGGTGCTCCATCGCCTTCAGTTCCCACCACTGGAAAGGATGTAAGATTACCTACACTATTCTTTCCTTACATTGTTAGCTCTGACAAATAGCATTTTAAATGACACCTCACAGCGTCTGAGTGCCTTTCTTACTGGGACCATAATGGACCGGCACCTCCTGGTGCAAACCAACTGGAACGCTGAGGAGGCTTTTAATAAAGCTCTTAATCTCCAGCACATTCCATTAAAACCACGATGTACTAACTGCCTTAATTATCTTAGGGCTTTCAGGTCACAAATTTGACAATGAATTTGAAACAATCTTAAACTAAATTTATTAGCAATGTGATTAATTACCCTAGGTTTACGTTGATGCTGTACTGTGATTATTTTCACAGTTGTTAACTCTGAGTCATCTTAAAGTGCTGTGAGTATGGACTGAACTGTAACTGAATTCTGCTAATTGTACCAGTTTCCCTTTCCTTCAAACACAGGACGAGGGATTTATAAAAACCTGAAATGAAGAACAGTGTATCAGAGCGGTGCTGTTGTGGCTGGTGAGTTATAAAATACTGCAAATACAGTT